ACAAGAAAAATTTGAAAAGGTAACAAATACTTGGAGACTGAAGATCATCCTACTAAAGAATGAATGGGCTAACCAAGCAGTTAAAGAAGAAATTAAAAAATATATGGAAGTCAATGAAAATGATAAATCCACAACCCAAAACCTCTGGGACGCAGCAAAGGTGGTCATAAGAGGAAAAATAGATAGCAATCCAGGCCTTCATAAAGAAGGAAGAAAGATCTCAGATACACAACCTAACTTTATGCCCTAAGGAGCTGGAAAAAGAACAGCAAATAAAACCCAAAACCAGTAGAAGACTGGAAATAATAAAAGATTAGAGCAGAAATTAATGCTATCAAAACAAACAAACAAACAAAAAAACCCAAAACAAAAAACAGTAGAACCGCTCAATGAAACCAGAAGCTGGTTCTTTGAAAGAATTAACAAAACTGATAAACTACTAGCCAGTTGTACCAAAAAGAAAAAGGAAAGGATGCAAATAAATAAAATCAAGAATGAAAGAGGAGAGATCACAACCAACACAACAGAAATACAAACAATAATAAGAGAATATTATGAGCAATTATATGCCAATAAAATGGGTAATCTTGAAGAAATGGACAAATTCCTAGAAACATACACTACCAAAACTGAAATAGGAAGAAATAGAAAATTTGAACAGACCCATAACCAGTAAGGAAATCGAATTCATAACCAAAAATCTGCCAAAATACTAGAGTCCAGGGCCAGCTGGCTTTCCAGGGGAATTCTACCAAACATTTAAGGAAGAGTTAATACCTATTCTCTTGAAGGTGCTCCAAAAAAATAGAAATGGAAGGGAAACTTCCAAACCCTTTCTATGAAGCCAGCATTACCCTGATTCCAAAACCAGACAGAGACCCCACTAAAAAGGAGAACTAGAGACCAATTTCCCTGATGAACATGGATGCAAAAATCCTCAACAAGATATTAGCCAACCGGATCCAACAATACATTAAAAAAATTATTCACCACGACCAAGTGGGGTTTATACCTGGGATGCAGGGCTGGTTCAATATCCACACAACAATTAACGTGATTCATCACATCAATAAAAGAAAGGACAAGAAACATATGATCCTCTCAATAGATGCAGAGAAAGCATTTGACAAAACACAGCATCCTTTGTTGATAAAAACCCTCAACAAAGTAGGGATAGAAGGATCATACCTCGAGATGATAAAAGCCATATACGAGCGAGCCAACGCTAATATAATCCTCAATGGGGAAAAACTGAGAGCTTTCCCCCTAGGTCAGGAACAAGACAGGGATGTCCACTCTTGCCACTGTTATTCAACATAGCATTGGAAGTCTTAGCCTCTGAAATCAGACAACACAAAGAAATAAAAGGCATCCAAGTAGGCCAGGAGGAGGTCAAACTTTCACTCTTCACAGATGACATGATACTCTATATGGAAAACCCAAAAGATTCCACCAAAAAACTGCTAGAAGTGATTCATGAATTAGCAAAGTTGCAGGATATAAAATCAATGCACAGAAATCGGTTGCATTCCTATACACCAACAATGAAGTGACAGAAAGAGAAATCAAGGAATCAATCCCATTTACAGTTGCACCAAAACCCATAAAATACCTAGGAATAAAACTAATCAAAGAGGTCAAAAATCTATACACTGAAAATTATAGAAAGCTTATAAAAGAAATTGAAGAAGACACAAAGAAATAGAAAAAGATTCCATGCTCCTGGATAGGGAGAACAAATATTGTTAAAATGTCGATACTACCCAAAGCAATCTACATATTCAACATGATCTCTATCAGTGTAATACCAGCAATCTTCACAGAGCTAGAACAAATAATCATAAAATTTGTATGGAACCAGAAAAGACCCCAAATAGTCAAAGCAATCTTGAAAAAGAAAACCAAAGTAGGAGGCATCACAATCCCAGACTTCAATTCCCAGATTACAAATCTGTAATCATCAAGACAGTATGGTACTGGCACAAGAACAGACACTCAGATCAATGGAACAGAATAGAGAACCCAGAAATGGACCCACAAACGTATGGCAAACTAATCTTTGACAAAGCAGGAAAGAATATCCACTGGAATAAAAACAGTCTCTTCAGCAAGTGGTGCTGGGGAAACTGGAGAGTGACATGCAGAAGAATTAACCTGAACCACGTTCTTACATCATACACAAAAATAAACTCAAAATGGATGAAAGACCTCAATGTAAGACAGGAAGCCATCAAAATCCTCGAGGAGAAAGCAGGCAAAAATGTCTTTGATCTTGCCTGCAGCAACTTCTTACTCAACATGTCTCTGGAGTCAAGGGAAACAAAAGCAAAAATGAACTACTGGGACCTCATCAAAATAAAAACCTTCTGCACAGTGAAGGAAACAGTGAGCAAAACTAAAAGGCAACCGACAGAATGGGAGAAGATATTTGCAAATGACATATCAGGTAAAGGGTTAGTATCCAAAATCTATAAAGAACTTATCAAACTCAACACCCAAAAAACAAATAACCCAGTGAACTAATGGGCAAAAGACATGAATACACATTTCTCCAAAGAAGACATCCAGAATGCCAACCGACACATGAAAAAAATGCTCAACATCACTCATCATCAGGGAAATACAAATCAAAACTACAATGAGATACCACCTTACACCTGTCAGAATGGCTAACATGAACAACAACAGATGTTAGTGAGGTTGCGGAGAAAGAGGATCTCTTTTACATTGCTGGTGGGAATGCAAGCTGGTGCAGCCACTCTGGAAAACAGTATGGAGGCTCCTCAAAAAACTAAAAATAGAACTACCCTATGACCCAGCAATTGCACTACTAGGCATTTATCCACGGGATACAGGTGTACTGTTTTGAAGGGATACATGCACCCCCATGTTTATAGCAGCACTAACAATAATAGCCAGAGTAAGGAAAGAGCGCAAATGTCCATCAATGGATGAATGGATAAAGAAGAAGTGGTATATATATACAATGGAGTATTACTCGGCATTCAAAAAGAATGAAATCTTGCCATTTGCAACTATATGGATGGAACTGGAGGGTATTATGCTAAGTGAAATTAGTCAGTCAGAGAAAGACAAAAATCATATGACTTCACTCATGAGGACTTTAAGAAACAAAACAGATGAACATAAGGGAAGGGAAACAAAAATAATATAAAAACAGGGAGGGGGACAAAACAGACAAGACTCATAAATATGGAGAACACACTGAGGGTTACTGGAGGGTTTGTGGGAGGGGGGATGGGCTAAATGGGTAAGGGGCACTAAGGAATCTACTCCTGGAATCATTGTTGCACTACATGCTAACTAATTTGGATGTAAATTTTAAAAAATAAAAAATAAAATTAAAATAATTAATTAATTAAAAAAAAAAGAATCCTGCAACAGGAGTGGTACTCAGTAGGATTTCTTAAAGGATTTTTTGTTTTTGTAGCATTTTAAAGAGAAAACATGATGGGATTGGAGTCAGAGCTGTAACCATGCTCCTATAGGAACAGGGAACTCCCAAGGATTTTCAAGGCTTTGCCATTAGAGCTATGTCTCTCCTATCCCTTCCAGGTAAACTATGTTGGAAAATGGAGAAGCCAACTGCAGGAGGCCTTGCATATCAACAACCAGGGTGAAGTCATATATGCTGCCTGAGGCAGAGTCAAGGTAGGAAGTGGAAAACACCCTGGTTTTATTTTAGATATTTCCTACAGAGCGACCACCTAAAGCAAACCAAGTGCCCTCAACTCTGTTAACCATGCTAAGTGTCTTCAACGTGGGGAGAGAAATGTTAGGCATTGAAGTAGTCTTAGGGAGTGACAAGTATTTCTACCATCTGGAACAAGGTTTTACACTCGGCCCCTTAATTCAATAATCTAAATGAACTCACACAATTCTCAGAAAATGTTCTCATGTTTTAAAAGAAAATGTACATACTAAGGGAATATGGGAACCCATTCGATGTTGAAATGATTTTATCACAATTAAAAAAGAATTCTAGTCCTTGCATATACTCTTTAAGGTGTTTGTTTCTGATGTGGATTCCCTAAATAATTAAAAATTAGAATAAGGTAGGAAAAATAATCTTCCCTCTCTCCTTATAGGTTATTGGCTGAGATACTCCTGTAACAAAAGACAGGGTAACAAGAGAAAAACAGAAGCTTAATAGTATGTATATCTCCTGTATACATAGGAGAGACCCAGAAAAAGTGAATAACTACCCTAAATGGTCTAAGCCACCACCTAAAATACCATTTCTAGCTAAAGATAAAAGAAAGATTTTGGAGTGGGTGGGGAAGGCCAATTTGGGGAGGTTACCAGGAAGAGTACAATAAACAAAGGTAAAGTTGTTATGCAGATGTAAATCATTGCCTTCCCCACTGATAAGAATTTCTAGAGACCTGGTCATCTTTCTCTGTAAGGAGACACCCTTACAAATGAAGGTTTCTCTTATAAATATAAGTGTCTTTTACAGAGGGTAACTTCTAGTCAGTTTTCAGTGTTTTTGATTTTTTAAAAAGCAGCCTACAATAATTCTTATGCCAAAGAGGTATATTTTGAGGTGGCAAATTCTGTTCCTCTTCATTAGTGATGGTCCAGCAACAGCTCAGAAAAGTGAAACATCATAGCTGATCTATTAACATGCAGCCCATTAAATCAATTACACTACCGAGTTTTATTTTTTTGGTGTTATTCATTTCTTTAGTTTCAAAAGCTAAAGTGGTTTCATCTGACAATTTATTAAGAAAAGAGGGAGGGAATTTTTCCAGAAATTACCCAAAACAAGTTGGAAGCCTATATTTTTAGAACAATTTAGTACCTGTTTTAGTCTGGGTCCTCTGGGAAGCTGACATCAACATGTAATTAAATGTGCAAGAGATTTATTAGGTGAACTGCTTGTGAGGATAAATGGGGACAGAGTCAAGGCAAGTGATCAATGCATGTTTGATGCATGTGGAAGACAGAAGGAAAAAAGGACGCTTGGGCAGAAGTACCTCCTTTTCCAGGGCAGTTCTAAGACACTTCATCAAGGTCATCACGGAGTCCTTCAGCCAAAGTCACCCTTCAGGAACAGGTCTGTCATAGTCTTCTGCTGTGCTCAGTCATTGCCTGTGTAGGAGAGGACATGTTTTACCCCTCTAGTCTTTAGGTTTGTTTGTTTGTTTGGCTGGTCTATTAATTAAATTGACATAAGACAGATTAACAGGAGAAAAAAATTAATTACACGCATATGGAAGCCCCATAAAGAATATGAGACAAGTCAGTCAGTTGAGGCTTACATGTCACTGTGAGCTAAGGGATAGGATTGGGGCCTGGGGCTTCCAAGGGGAGGAAGATAATTTATAGGACAATAAGAAGCGCAGATGTTTGGTAATTAGATGTTTGCCCTGTCACACAGATGGATCTTTCAGATGAAAATTTATCTCTGGCAATAACTCTTTTTCTGAATCAGGCCCCGAGTCTAAGTTCTTTTGGTTAGTTAAAGGGAAAGGTATAAGTTTTTCTTGAGTCTACTGGGTCTTGATTGCTTTCAATTCAAAATAATCTACATGCCAAGGGGACATATTTTGGGGCCATGAATTTTGCAACTCCTCACCTGGGAGCAAGCAGCCTTTGGAAATATGCACATGAACTGGGTGCTGGTGGATTCAGAGCACAGCACTGGAGTCCTAAATCAGTCACTCTCCCGGGAATTAGGTAGCTCATTTCCCTGCCAACCGTTTATCTAGTGTAAAGAAAGCATGCTACATTATCTAGGATTACAACATACTATCTGTCTTTTATGCAAAAATCCAGAATTAAGTGCAAAACATACCAACTTAGAAAATGTTTACATCTACAGCAAGAATAAGAGCCACTCCATTCTCCTGCACATTAAACATCTGCCTGTGGTCTACAAAGTTAAAAGTATTGAAATGTGCCAGGGAATCAAGTTGGCTATGAAGATCACTAACTTTATGAATGGGAAAAAGTATGAACACCTCAGATTATAGAAATAGCGGTTTAAAAAATGTGATATATGGATGGAACTGGAGAGTGTTATGCTAAGTGAAATAAGCCATACAGAGAAAGACAGATACCATATGTTTTCACTTTTATGTGGATCCTGAGAAACTTAACAGAAACCAATGGGGGAGGGGAAGGAAAAAAAAAAAGAGATTAGAGTGGGAGAGAGCCAAAGCATAAGAGACTCTTAAAAACTGAGAACAAACTGAGGGTTGATGGGGGGTGGGAGGGAGGGGAGGGTGGGTGATGGGTATTGAGGAGGGCACCTTTTGGGATGAGCACTGGGTGTTGTATGGAAACCAATTTGACAATAAATTTCATATATTGAAAAAAAATGTGATATAGTTACTGCCTGACAAAAACGAGAAGAGAGTTTTGAAGGATTATAGCATACGTGATTCACGGAATTCTTTCTCAATTCTGACCCCACTGCCTTGTGCTGTTAGCAAATTCATTAGCCAATGATAAATTAACAAAATAACACCTTCAACCATATGACAAGCACAGGGCAAGGAGCCTGAGTGTCAAAGTCTCGGGCCAGGGAACCAATGCTGTTTAACTATATTCCAGTTTAGGTGAGTTTGTTCCCCTGGTGGCCTCTTCCACCATCTTGGTGTTCTGTCACCCCTAAACTCCAAATACACCCCAATAATCAAGCCCCTGATGATTCACCTTCCTGCTGCTTTTATGACTGCATCCTACCTTCACCTTGGTTTCACAATAATTTTCTTGGACTATTTAACAGTTTTCCCAGGAATCCACAGGGCCTGCCACGGTATTCCACACTGGCATTCCTCACAACTTATTCCTATCTGTGTATATGTAGATGCTGGCTTTTAGATTGGCATTCATCTATTTACAATAGCTTATGTGGTGCCTATTTGAAATTTTATTGATTTTGGGCCTAGTCATCATGGGATGATTCTGGGGTCCTTTCAATCAAGATAAAGGAAACATGATGCCAGATGGAGAAGGGTGATTCATCACCTCCTCCTCTTTTTTCAGTGCTGAAAGAGCAAGTATAAAATGGAAACTTTGTTTTTTGAAGGTTTGTTAGAATTCGTCTTTAAAATTGTCAGTGGAAAAATGTTTTAGTTTATTATGCAATCCAATAGGAAGAAAAAAAAGAAAAGGTAGGAAGTGCTGGAAAGAAAATAAACAACAAAAAGAATCATAGAAAATAAAATGGGGTTAATTAATCAATCCATCAATTAATCAGATGATAATTTACTGAGTAGCTACAATCAGGTCCAACATTACACAGCAACAAAACAAATTTCCAACCACTGATAAGAGAGAAAAATAAGTGGAATAATGATATAAGACTAGGCAACTGATTTTATTAGGATGGTCAGAAAGCCTCAAAAAACCTGATATTTGAGTTGAAATCTGAATGACTGGAGGTAAAAGCATTCCAGGCTGGTGGATCTTCACAGATTATGTCAGTGTCTCTGGAGATCACAATCTGACTCCACCTTCATTCTACGTACGTCTCTGCTTGTAGAGCCATTTTTCTTATATGTATTCTCCAAAACAAATTAGGTTAAACTGTCCATAGTATTTTCTTAACATTGTTTTAATCTTCTTGGTATCTGTATTTATTTAATACTTTAGGTCTAAAATGACTAGCTTTTTATTCTTTTTTTTTTTGTCATACTTCAAAAAGTTTGAATATGTTATTTTATTATCTTTTAAATCTTTATTTTTATTAACTCTTATGTTTATTACATCAACTTCCACTTTCCGTCTATTAGCCCTTTCTTATTCTTTGATGGGTTTATTTTGTTTCTAACTCAATATGAAAGCATGGTTCACTGACGTGTAATCTTGTATTATTAATACATTAATATAAGGTTGTACATTTTCTCCCTCCTTATGTGTGGGCCTTTGCAGTCTTCCTGCTCATAGATGTTGTTCCATTGCTATCTTGACTTCAGTAGCCATATCTGTATATCTTCCTGGAAGCTTTTAAGATTTTATTTGTATTCTTTGTCACTCTGTCTAAATCTATTAGTTTTTGTTTGTTTGTTTGTTTGTTTGTTTTAACTTATCCTCTTCAGGACAGAGTGGGTTTTTTTCATCAGACTCCTTCTTGAGTACAGATCGCCTGTGGTCTTGTACACACCTATATCCCACGTACTTCCTCTGGGCTTCCAGTAAGTCAGATATTGAAACTGCTAGATGCCTCCACGTTTTGCCATCTTTCTTTCACATGCCTCATCTCTCTCCAACTGTGGTGCTTTCTGGCTTAACCCTTCAACAAGATCTTCCAGAACGTAATGCATGCTTCTTCTCAGGACATTCTGGACTTCTGTGTTTAATTTCAACAACAGTTTTCATTTTTGAGATTTATCACTTTTATTCCTTTACTGCTAATCATTCTTATTGTAGGACTTTGGTCTATTCCTGCATTCTTTCATCCATTTAATGGTAGAACACATAGACGTAAAAAGGTGCTGGCCACCTAGGAAATAATGTCAGCTCTTATGATTAGTGTTTTCATGTTTATGTGAAAGTCCAATTCTGCCTCCTCTATTAGTTAACATTGTTTAAATTCTCTCTCCGATGTTGAGCTTTGTATGTGTCTTGTTTTATTTATTTATTTTTTTTATCTGTTAGACATCTTGACTGTATCTTCATCTTTGGGAATATATTTCCATTTCGACTATGTTTTCTGTTTGTGCAAACTGCTTAGGGAGAATAAAATGTGTCCTGAATTCTGGTATAGTTTCAGAAAAAGCAAGAAGCCAGTACCTTAATGGTATTTTCAGTGCTAGCTTTCTACATATGGGTCCTCCATATTTCTCCCATCCTTTACCATCCACAATACCCTGCTTCTCTTGCCTGATATCAATCACTCATGCTCATGTTTGAAAGCTTACACTAGGAGTTCACGTGCTTGGTTACTACTATTGTGGTCTCTCTGGCGTCATCCACCTCTTAGCATCCATTGTCTCCATGTATACAACAGTACAACAGTCATGGATTTGGTTTTGCCTTTTGCCTTTGTCCTATTTTTTGTAACTTCCCATATCATCTTATATGGTGCCCATCTCTGAGAGATGTCTAACTCTCTTATGGTCAGTGAAGTGGTGAAATGTTCCCTTTTTATACCTTAAGTGCTTGTTTTTTGGCTTTTTTTTCAAAATTTTTCTGAATCTGGAGTGTAGAGAAGATTGTAGCCTATTCTCAGCCTGCCATCTTCAATGAGAATTTAGTACAGAAAATTTTAAAGTTCTTAAAAACCTTTGCAAAACTAATACCTGTAGAATTAAAATTATTCAGGTCATACAATACTACAAGGTATTTATCAACAAATTTTATGCCACAAATCTAATTTAATTAATACTATATATATATATATCCATCCACCCTTATCCATGGGGAGTATGTTCCAAGACCTCCAGTGGATGCCTAAAACTGCAGATTGTACTGAACGCTATTTATGCTATGTTTTAATTTCCTATACATATGTATCTATGATAAAGTTTAATTCATAAATTAGACACAGTAAGAGATGAACAATAATAAGATACAATAATTATGACATGTCTTGTAAAATAAATTATGTAAATGTGGCCTCTTAGTCTCAAAATATCTTTTTGGACTATACACAAACTTCTTCTTGTGATGATGTCAGATGATACAATGTCTATTTGACAATATGAAGTGAAGTGAATAATGTAGGCATTGTGATGCAGCAACAGAGTGCTACTGACTTGATGACAGGTCAGAAGGACTATCATCTGCTTCTAGACTTTCAGTGACTGTAGATACCTGAAACCACAGAAAGGGATAGTGCAGATAAAGAGGGTCTGCTATACACAGAATTGAGTATTACTTAACAAAAATAATATACTATAATTAGGTAGTGTTTATACTATAGGTATACTATACTATACTATAGGTAGTGTTTAATAGGTAGGTACTATAGATAGTGTTTAATATACTACAGTTAGGTAGTCCAGGAATGTTGTCATAATTCAGGAACTATATAAACATAATCCATTCAATCAATACATTAAAAGGAAAAATCATATAACTAGAAATAGATGACAGGGGTGCCTGGGTGGCTCAGTCAGTCAAGTGTCCGACTATTGGTTTAGGCTCAGGTCATGATCTGATGGTTAGTGAATTCAAGCCCCCCATCAGGCTCTGCACTGATACCATGGAGCCTGCTTGGGATTCTCTCTTTCTCCCTCTCTCTCAACCCCTCCCCCACCCATTCTCTGTCTCTATGTCTCTGTCTCTGTCTCTCTCTCTCTCTAATAAAAAAAAAAGAAATGGATGACATAAGGTCATTAGATAAAACTTACAGGGATTCTAATGAAAATTTAAATAAAATAAGAATGTTTGGAAGCAAATGATTTAGTAATTATCACACAGCAAGAAATAATTACTTCATTGAATTTCCATGTATTCAGGGCATAACTTTGGCTCTGCTTGTTTCTGTTCAATTTTGTTCCACATATCCTCCTCATTATTGGATCCTGGCTAATGTAGTAGCCTACCTACTCTGAAATCAATTGTGATTTACAATTGAAATATTTTAGTTTTAACTCATAGAAGTAGAAGAAAATGAATCTTAGCAAAATCATGAAATGGTTCTTAAAGCTTCTGTTGAACATGACATTCAGTGACTCCTTGAACCAAAACAACTTCAACTGTGAGGTACTGGAAGTCAAATGGCCATGGAGAAGGCCATGCATACTTCTTGCA